TATATATATATATATATATAAATATTTTGAATTATCTTTGATTTTTTTTATTTTTAATTTTAGTTTTAAGTTTTTGTAATTGATATGTTTGCTATTTTTTTTCTTTTAAATTTTTCTATTTAGCTTTAATTTATTTGTTTTAGTTTTATTTTCAGTTAGGCACCAAGATAATATTTCTAATTTTCGTTTTAAGTTTTTTTAACTTTACATTTTTCATCTACTATAGATATTTTAGTTCATTACAGCTCTATTTCAACTATAGAAAACTATTTTTACTAGTTTAGATTTAGTTTTAGTTAACGGTTAAAAACTCTGGTTCTAACCCGACATGATGCAATACATTTCCAGCAACAATTAATATTTTTCTGAACACGATTAAAACAAAACATTGGGACGGAAATGCAGATTTACATGCTTGGTTAGCGATTCAAATCAAACTTCATGAGCATTTTTGCATGATTCATTAATAGAATTGGCTCAAATGAATAAACTTGTCATACTGTATGTTTTGCAAAGATGCAATAGAAAGATGTTTTGTATTATTTCTGTCTTTGCATTATTTTGTGGCTGAAATATAATTGTTACATGAAAATTTTTTTTTGTTGCATCATGCTTGTTTACGACAGTGATTCAAATCACACTTCATGAATCTTTTTGTATGATTCACTAAAAGAACTGTCTCAAAAGAATCTATTAATCTAATTACATTGTATGATTTGCAAAGAATACGCAATTCCGGGACACTTCGTGGCTAGCAGCTTGTTTATCCCATTATCACGTTTAATTCTGAAAACTCACAACTATTTTAGTATTACTATATCAATATATATTCATATTTTGAATTAGATTTTTTTTGTATTTTCATTTTAATTTTAGTTTAAGTTTGAATAATTTTGTTATGCAGTTGTGTCATTTTTATCCATTTTTCTTTTCAAGTAAAATATAATTTTGACACGAGAAAAAGGTTTTACTGCATCACATTTGGTCAGGATACAGTGATTCAAATCAAACTTCATGAGTCTTTTTGCACGATTCATTAAATGAATCGGCTCAAAAGTGTCAACTGGTTACTCTATGTTTTGCAAAGATGCAATAGAAACATGTCTTGTATTTTTACTGTCTTCGCATTATTTTGTGGCGAATGAAAAAAAAAAAAAAAGGTTTTATTGCATCATGTTTGATAAAGACAGTGATTCAGATCAAACTGGCCATGATTCATTAAAAGAACTGTCTCAAAAGAGTCTTTTAATCATCTGTATGATTTGTGAAGATGGCGCAGTAGAAAGAGATCTTGAATGTCTATTGCATTATTTCATGGCTCTCAGCCTGTTTCTCATCACATTTAATTCTGCAAACGCGCAGTTTGACTAAAATATAATTTCCCTTGCCGTGGCAGATTTATAGCACAGGAAACCCTAAAAGATGTGCCTCTGATGTCAGGCTGGTGTTTTCTGGATGAAAGTCGAGCAACTTTTTAAATTAAGAGAGCATCTGAGAATCGGGCATGCAGAGCTTGAATGCAGCTTTTCTGGCGCGTGAGATCACAGATGCACGTTTACTCGCGCTCATGAACGCGTGGCAGTCTCACGAGGGAATAAATCCCCCACCGGCCATTTCTTTCACGGCTTTCCCTCACTCTTGCAGGATTTCACACAATATAGGAAGTAATTTAGTGCGGCTGGTGTGTTGAGAGATTCCCCAGACTCAAGCTAATCCACGTGAATGTGCTTAGAGAGGAGGATCAGAGCATTTCAGACCGTTTCTGTCGAGCAGGACGGCGAGGAACTCTCTGTAGTATGAGCTGATGTAAAGCAGCAGCGCCGGCGCTTGGCTCGTCCTGAAGCTCAGCGAAACGTTCTCTCCTCTCAGCGTTAAATCGGAGTAGATGGAGGACGACTGAGCGCTGACGTTCCTGTTCAGCTCGTACGGCTCTTTGAACGTGTACATGACTGATGTTCCGGGTTTGAAGAAGGCAGAAACGTCTGAAAGAGAGATTCAACGCACTGGGATTAGGATTATGGATATGCATAACTATCATAAACTGGTGTAAAATCATTGTGTCATGTTGTCTTACAGGTAGGGCTGGGCAATATGGACAAAAATATAATCAAATATTTTTTTCTGTATAGTTTTATATCAATATGTACCATTAATAGGAGAAATAAATACATTTTACATGTTTGTTAAATCACAAAATAAGATTTTTAATTATGGCCCCATGAAATCCAATTTATTTTTTATGGATTCTGTGTTTTAATACAGTTATATTTGAATGATTTAATACCAATTTATCACCAAAAAATGGTCCTAATGAAGTGAATTCATAAAACTTAAAAAATGTAATCAATCTTTTGAAATGTAATCAAATGAAAATGTAGTAATTCATTTACAACAAAACATTTTGAACATTTTATACTTAATTTTTTTTTCAAAATAAAGTATTATACAATAGTAATATATTTCCGTAATAATTTCATCAAGTTAAACCAAACTTTTATTTTGGTGGTTTGTTGCAAAGACTTTTGAGTGTCAGTATATTTTACGATTGCTTTAAATAAATTAATAAATGAAATTAGCAAATAAATGAAACGGTAAGATGCTCATCAAGTGCAGCTCTGGAGAACTGTTAAAAGTCATTTTTGGTAACTGAAATAAAATAAAATAAAATAAACTTGATGAAAAACTTAAACGTAAAAAGTGAAAATTAGAACTGGTGCCTTGAAAACTAACTGAAATAAGTACTAGAATTACTGAAAGAAATAACAAATAAAAGTAAATATATTTAAAAAGAAACTAATAAAATGACTAAAGCACATTACAAAATTACTAAAATGTAAACGTAAAGTAAAACGAAAACTGAAAATATAATAATAAGCTAATTCAAAATATTAATAAATACTATAATAGTATATAAAATATACCAAAATAACATGAAAATAAAAGAGAAAATAGAAAGCATTTGTTAGCAAAATGTCATTATTATTATTATTATTTTAATTGAGTAAAATATCTGTGTGAATATTTCAGTTTCAGTGAAATATTTTTTTCTATTTTATGATAGCTTTTATCAAATGAAATGCTCATAAAGTCTGGAGATGAAGTTTATTATAGTTTATTGTACATTTATTTATTTATTTTAATAAATATCGATGTTGTTTTGTTGCCCAGCCCTACTGTCAGGGCAAAAAACAACAACAACGAACCACATTTGTTTTGTTAAAATTAGTGCTGTCAATCGATTCTTTTTGTTTTACTAATTAATCGCACATTTTTCTGAAATTAATCGCGATTAATCGCGATTAATCCCACCTAACATTAAAATTTTTAAATATACTTTTATATTGCAATAATTTCACATTCAATCTTCAAATTAGAAATTGAAGTTATCAAACACTAAATTCTAAATTAAATATAGATGAATCCTTAAAACTATAAAAGTTATTTGTTCCTCATTTTTCTTTGTCCTTTGATTAATAGACATCACAGCAGCTGGTTGTTAGGTTGTTTTGGCTGTTATTTCTTTAAGAGCTGCTGCTGCTGAACATGATGCGGATCTGACACGTATCATATTTTCTCTCAACTCTTTTGACCTTTTCTGACCCACTTCAGGTCTTAAAGTCTCTATTAATGAGCTGACGAGTTAAAGACAGTTTTGAAAACCATTTCAGAGACATGTTCTTAAATGTGACTCATATAATATATATTACATGCATGCACAGTTTTAAGGCAGCTTTAATCGCCTTTTTGGTAACTTCATGACTTAACTGACCACAGCATTGCATGCACGTAGTTTATTTCGTGCTTTGATATGAAAGGACACAGGCTACAGCACGCGAAAATTAGAAAGTTGATTTATGTTAATTCTTTGATAAATCCTGATATCAATGCATTGCCCAGCCCTACTATTGGAGTAAAAACCACCTTGAACCTCCTGAGATTCGGTACCTTTATGGCAGAAGGTGCCGGTGAAGGGCGAGAGGCTGCAGTCGCAGGTGAAGCCGCTGTGATCCTCCACACAGCTGCCGTGATTCTGGCACAGGCCGCCGTAGCTGCTGCAGTGTCCGGGACATCCGGGCGTCACTCCGGGCGTGATCTCCGCCCGCTCCTCCAGATCCAGAGTCTTCCCGTTCAGCTTCAGCGAGCGAATGCAGCCCAGGAAGCCCTTCTGTCTGGAAGCCGTTCCTCCTGAAGACGCAAGCAGAGTTTACTCTCAGGTGTGAATCTGAAAGCATACAGCTGTCAAGGCTCTGAGAAAAAGCCATTAAATGACAGCAAAGTTACAGGAAAAGACGGCTTTTATCACGCAGACAGCGTAACCTTCTCGCATGCTATCAAGGGTTTGAGTCGCGGCAGGCAGTTTTGTTCAGCGAACCCGAGCCTCCGTTCAAAAATAAACGATCGCTGACCCTTTTTCCTCCACTGATGTGCTGTCAGTCTCTCACAGCGTTTTGTCCTTTATATGGTCATTGCTTGGGGAAGAATATTGTGTTTTTTTGCAGTCTCTTCCTGCAGACGATGAGCTATAAATACAGAAATAATGCGCTCTCCAAATTTTAGTGCTCAGCGATTTAGTGCTAATTCGTTTGAGCGAACACCTCACTATGCCAGCTGTGCCATGTTTAAGCAAAAGTTGGAAATGCTGTTAAAACTAAGTTTGGACATGCCAGTGATGAAATAGGAGACAAAGACAAACGTGTTACCAATCTACACGAAACACAAATCACTATTACATTTCTATAATATTTCTTACTTGGACATAAATCAGAGCAAATGGAAAGTTGTGTTTAAATCTTCATCTTAAGTACTTATATGAGATCTTAATGTCTCAAACTATTAAGAATTATTTTCAATACTGTAATAAAGTAAAAAAAAAATACTATAATACACTTATAATTCACTTATAGTTTGTGATTGTAATTGTGTCATTAATATGCAAAAAAAACCTTAATGATGCTAAAATATGCAAAAATAGAAATAATTAAAAATAGAAAATTAAAACTATTAAACTAAAACAAATAAATTCATTAAAATAATATCAAAATAAAAAAATGCAACAAAAATATATTAATAAATTAAAATAGAA